CCCAGGTATTCTTGAGTTACCAGTTTCAATTACCTCTTGGAAACACTAAATGGCTACTTTTAGTGGCATTATCTTAGTAATATTTGAATCTAGATAAATTTGAGAAGATGGAATTAAAAATTTAAAAGTCTACAAAAAAAGGCTAGTCTACTTTACAAAATAACAATAAGGGAGGTATACTGGGGTTAGTGTTATAGCAAGTGACTGGAGATCAGACCACAGTAGCATTGGTGGTTGAGACTTTAGGAATCTCTTCTAAAGTGAGGCCTGAAATCAACATACCAACTTGCATTTGTAGAATGGCTTTATTATTTGAAATTAAAGCAGGAATGTTTTCATCAGAGGTCTGGAGATACCGAGTGCTCTGCTAGCATGAACAAGGTGCTGAGTTCAGTATCACCTTCTGGTACCCCACTCCCTAGGACAGGAAAACAAACGAACAAAACCCCTAAATTCATAAAGGACTAATGAAAGAGCTATATACCGAATATTGTCCTTGTAAAACTCATGTAAAAAATCACTTTAGAGCCTTTAATCTCAGCACCTGGAAGGCAGAGGTGGGTTGCTCTCTGTGAGACCAGCCTTGTTTACATATGAGTTCCTGGACACCCAGGACTGCCTGGGAGGGGAGAGTCACTTTAACACAGGTGTGGTACACAACTGTTCCAGCATTTGGGGTCAGGATTTCAAGGTCATCCTCAGTTACACACTGAGCTTCAGGTTAACCTGGGCTACTTAAGACACTATTTCAAAAACAACAACATTCTAAAACTATTAGTATCAAAGTACTCTATCAAAAATGTATGTGATGGCCTATGTAGCCTTGCTTCACCACATCTTTCAATGCTCATAGTTGGAAACTTTCACTAGTGTTACACTGGCATAAATTTATCTGCCTTCACATTATGAAGTATGGAGTAGTCTTTGAAAATTTTCCAAGTATTTTGAAACAATTTCACAATTGCCCATTTATCCTCCTGCCCCCACCTAATTGAGGCTTGCTAAAAGATCTAGCTAAACACAAGGGCCAACTATAATGTGAAAGTTATTCCCAACACCCAATAGCCTTAGATTAACTTGCTTCCTAATTTTTAAATTAATGTATACTATTATTCCAAAAATAAATCTCTATGAAGAATCCACTATTAAATTGAAAATTTAGCTTCTAAAATGCACTAGTTTTTTAAAAATAACACGAAGTGAATTTTTATCATGCTAGATATTAAAATGCCTATGTGCTGTTGAAACTACGCATTTTCAAACCAACTACTAAATTTCTTCCAAGTTCCCCTTAAAGGAACTTTTAAACATAACTCCATTAAAAACTAAAAACTAAGTGGCTCAGCTGGTAGAGGTACTTGCTACCAACCTGAAAACCTGAGTTCAATCGTGGGCACACACATGATGGGGAGAACCAGTCATACAGTGTGCACCCCCAAGTCGATGGGACTAAAAAAATTAACTATAGTAGTGGTTTGAGACAGGCTATTTTAAGAGCTCTAAGATCTTCAAATCAGAAAAGGAACCACTTCCCAAATAATTACAGCCGCCAAACAGGTTCTTACAGAATTTGCCCTAAGTTTGGCAGTTGGGCTGTTTCACAGAAGCGGGAACAAGCGTGACCAGGCTTGGCCTCAGCATCAGACCCTTTCACACTTGCCTGCTGGCTCTCATTTCAGGAACCTGCATGTCAGAGTGCATCTTTCTATACTCCCTGTGGCTATTATGAAAAGATGCTGTCATTTTGGTTACTTAGAGAACATCTGTGTTGTACAGGATCTGGAATACAGCTTGCACTTCCCTGCAACATTCAGGGAGGTTTTGTTGTTGTTGTTATTGTTGTTTTAAACTTGAATACTGAAGCCAGGGCTGAGGAGTTTAGATTCACTTGAAGACCCCATCAGGTTTCTGTATACTAAAGGGGGTGTTTGCCAAAATTCTTCACCCTTTAAATTGTTGGTTACTCGAGGCAGGAACTTCATCTGAGAATTAGAGAAAATTGGATTAGATAAATTTCACATCATACTAACGTAAAGATCAATATGAGTAAAACATGGGAAGAAGAAATTGAAAACTCCAGGCTGCAATTTTGTGATCAAGTTCAGCTTTACTAAAATTTGCATTTATGTCTTCACAGAATATACCTGTCTTTAAAATAACTGCAATGTTTATTTTAATCTCAAAGTAGTACATAAAAATGAACAATTCAAGCCCCTCTGTATTCAGTGGTACCAAGCTTCCATAGGACAGGTGTGCAAACATCAGGTTTCCCATTTCCAGCAATTCTCCACGTACAAACTAAGCTTAACAAGAGAGAGAGAGAGAGAGAGAGAGAGAGAGAGAGAGAGAGAGAGAAAAGAAAAAAATGCTCAAATCAGCAATCACTTAAAATGTTAAAATGTATTAAAGAGAAACCTCATTTCCCCCCCAAACCAAACTTTAGAACTAACCTTTTGTAACTAAACTAAGGTGTTGCACCTTTCCTTTCAGACGCCTGCACCAGGCTAAAGACTTCCAACAACAAATCTCACTTGGCACGAGGACATTTCAAAGAAACCAAAACAAAAGGGGAATGGGGAGGGGGGGAAGGAAAAGAGATTTACGCGGACTGCAGTGCAAGCTTAGTTAGTCCACTTCCTCGATGGTGGGGCCTCCAGAGGAGCCGCCGCCTCCGCCGCCAGGACCGCCTTGGTAAAGTTTGCTGATGATGGGGTTGCACACTCTCTCAAGCTCTTTCTGTTTGTGTTCGTACTCATCTTTCTCGGCCATCTGGTTTCGGTCGAGCCAGTTGATCACCTCCTGACACTTGTCGAGGATCTTGTTTTTGTCCTGCTCGCTAATCTTGCCCCTCAGTTTCTCGTCTTCCACCGTCTGCTTGATGTTGTAAGTATAGGACTCAACTGCGTTTTTGGCTGCCACGCGATCGCGATTAGCTTCATCTTCCGATTTGTACCGCTCTGCCTCCTGCACCATACGGTCAATGTCGTCCTTGCTCAGACGACCCTTGTCGTTGGTGATGGTGATTTTATTTTCCTTACCGGTGCTCTTGTCGGCAGCAGTGACGTTAAGGATGCCGTTGGCATCGATGTCGAAGGTGACCTCGATCTGGGGGACCCCGCGGGGTGCTGGGGGGATCCCAGTCAGGTCGAACTTGCCCAAGAGGTTATTGTCCTTGGTCATGGCCCGTTCGCCCTCGTACACTTGCACCAGCACGCTGCTTTGGTTGTCTGAGTAGGTAGTGAAGGTCTGCGTCTGCTTGGTAGGGATCGTGGTGTTTCTCTTAATGAGCGGGGTCATGACACCGCCAGCTGTTTCAATGCCAAGCGACAATGGAGTCACGTCGAGTAACAGCAGATCCTGCACATTCTCCGATTTGTCCCCGATGAGGATAGCCGCCTGCACAGCGGCGCCGTAGGCCACCGCCTCGTCGGGGTTGATGCTCTTGTTCAGCTCCTTGCCGTTGAAGAAATCCTGCAGGAGCTTCTGGATCTTAGGGATGCGGGTGGAGCCGCCCACCAGCACTATCTCCTGGATCTGGCCCTTGTCCAGCTTGGCATCGCGCAGAGCCTTTTCCACCGGCTCCAGGGTCCCTCGGAAGAGGTCGGCGTTGAGCTCCTCGAAGCGGGCGCGGGTGATGGACGTGTAGAAATCCACGCCCTCGTAGAGCGAGTCGATCTCGATGCTGGCCTGCGTGGACGAGCTCAGGGTGCGCTTGGCGCGCTCGCAGGCAGTGCGCAGCCGGCGCACTGCGCGCTTGTTGGGCCCAATGTCCTTCTTGTGTTTGCGCTTGAACTCCTCCGCCAGGTGGCTGACCATACGATTGTCGAAGTCTTCACCACCCAGGTGGGTGTCGCCAGCCGTGGACTTCACCTCGAAGATGCCATCCTCGATGGTCAGGATGGACACGTCGAAGGTGCCCCCGCCCAGGTCGAAGATGAGCACGTTCTTCTCGCCACCCGCGCAGCCCTTCTTATCCAGGCCATAGGCGATGGCCGCTGCCGTGGGCTCGTTGATGATGCGCAGCACATTGAGGCCCGTGATAGTGCCCGCGTCTTTGGTGGCCTGGCGCTGCGAGTCGTTGAAATAGGCGGGGACGGTGATGACCGCGCTCTGCACCTTGCCCCCCAGGTAGGCTTCGGCGATCTCCTTCATCTTTGTGAGGACCATGGAGGAAATCTCCTCCGGGAAGAAAGTCTTTATCTCCCCCTTATATTCTACCTGCACTTTGGGCTTCCCACCCTCGCTCACCACTCTGAACGGCCAGTGCTTCATGTCCGACTGCACCGTGGCGTCCTCGAACTTCCGCCCGATCAGCCTCTTGGCGTCGAAGATGGTGTTCGTGGGGTTCATGGCCACTTGGTTCTTGGCGGCGTCGCCGATGAGGCGCTCGGTGTCGGTGAAGGCCACGTAGCTGGGGGTGGTGCGGTTGCCCTGGTCGTTGGCGATGATCTCCACCTTGCCATGTTGGAAGACCCCCACGCAGGAGTATGTGGTGCCCAGGTCGATGCCGATGGCCGGGCCGCGGGCGGACATGCTGACTGTAAAAACAAACAAAACCAGGCACAGCGACGTTAGGATGAGACCCAGCCAACGGTCGTCCCGCACAGCTCTCCTCGAGCGCGACCAGCGTCTCCCGGCTCCCAGGGCTTGGTTCCCCGCTCTTATAGACGCCCCCCTGCCTTCTGGAAGCTCCCAGAGCCAATCCGCCCCCGGGACCGCCCGCACCAAGCCGTCCGGCACCCCCACAGGCTCACCTGGTCGGAGTGACCAGCCGGTGGTCCAACAGATAGCTAGTTGGCTGGGGGGCGGGACTCCGGCCCAGGGCGGGGAGGCCGAGGGACGGCCGTTATGCAAATGAGGCCCCGCCCAGTGCCTCCCGCCGCTTGGGGGCGTTAGGCTCGAGCCCGGGGAACCGGGGCGTACGCCCCTTCTCCGCCCCTCCCTCTCTTTGACGTTTCTACAGTGTGATTCGTTGACATCTGTCAGATTGGCAGGGCATGTGCCCAATGAGCAGCGTGGAACCCTAAGCTTGCGGCGGAGGGGCGCGGGGCGTGGCGCGGGGGAAGGCAGGGCGGATGGGGAGCTGGTTTCCTGGGGGTCTTAGTACGGTTCGGTACCGGGTCCCGCCACGGACCCAGCTTCCTGGGGCCGAATTCTTTTTGGGGGCGGTTGCACGGAATAAAGAACGGCTGGGACCGGCTCCCGTCTTCCCTTCCCCGTGGGGTTGGGCATAGGGCGGCTCCAGGGCGGGAACTGCGAGGTCGGGCAGAGGCGAGTTTTTCCTCGCGCCTCGGTGGGTGCGCGGCGGGAAGGCTGCGCGGTGCTTACCCGGGAGGCGCGAGTTCACGGCCCGCGGGCCTCCTTACTCGTTCCCGCTGTCCCCCACCCACACCCTCCGCTTGCCCCGTTTTCTCTTTCAAGTTTTCATATCGGCGATTTTGGCTCCTTGTCGGTACCCTGAAATACGCCCATGTCACCCTCTGACTACCGTCCGTGCACATGAGATCCGGTTTAGGAACTAGTCGTTTTGTGGCTGTGCCCGGTTGAAGAACTTAGGTTGGCAGCACAGAACTTGTGAGAGAAGGTAGATGAAAAAGAGTCCCCATCTTTCGCTCCCTGTGTGGACGGGATCTGAGAATAATTCTGGAAAGCGCTCTATGGCGCGAGAGGGTGGTAAAAGGACTCCTGGTAGAAAACGGAGAGCTGTAACGTAGAGCCACCGCTTCGCCTTACGGATGGGAAGCTGAGCACAGTCAACCCCGAAAACTTTGACAGGTGCCTAGTATGAGATGAGAAAAAAGGGGAAATAGTTCGTTCTCAGGCCGTTGTGTGATGAAGGGGTAAACATAATTCAAGAGACGTGCTATGAGAGCACAGGGCAGGGGCGCACAGAGACCAAGGGAAAATGCCGAGGAGTGCGACCCGGAAGAGGCAGCATGCCTAAAGTCCTGCCGGGGACAGTAAGAAAGGCGTTCTTCATCCAGGTTGAGGTGTTGGAGTTTGGGCAGCGACGAGGGCAGATGAGTTCGGGGTCAGGATGCATTCAGCAGGCTTTTGTGCAGTTGGGATTGGGGTTTTTTGTTTGTTTTGTTTTTTGTTTTTGAAGCTTCAGGAGAGTACCGCCCTTTATAACCGGCTAGTGCGTTGTGTGAGACAGTAATGGAGAAGACATTTCGTGTGAGAAGCACGGAAGTTTTCTGTGTCCAAAAGGTAATGTTAACAGAATTCTATAACACTTTATTTTTACTCGTGTGTGTGTGTGTGTGTGTGTGTGTGTGTGTGTGTAGAGGGGGTATGTGCAGTGTGGTGCAGGTGCCTGCAGAGGCCCTAGAGCTGCAGTTAAATATGGTCTCAAGCCACCTGACGTCGATGATGGGAATTGAACCCCCAGTCCTCCGGTAGAGCAATAAGTGCTCTTCAGTCTCGAGACATCTCTCCAGCTCAGAATTCTATAAAATTTAGTCTGGAAAAATTTAAAGATTCTTTTATTTGTTCCTATATGTAATTTCTAGTTCTTAAAAACACATTTGCTGTTGATTTCTTCATCTCATTGATATAGCTGGTTTAACTACAAATCTCTATTTCCCATGAGAGAAATTAAAGAAAATTTTGAAATAGGAAGAGTGTTAAAGAAAATATCAGACCAGGCGGTGGTGGTGCACACCTTTAATCTCAGCACTTGGGAGGCAGAGGCAAGTGGTGAGTTCAAGGCCAGCCTGGTCTACGGAGTGAGTCCCAGGACAGGCTCCAAAGCTACACAGAGAAACCCTGTCTTGAAAAACAAAACCAAACCAAAAACTCAGGCCAGGCATGGTGATATATGCTTACATACCCAGCACTGAACTACTCTTGCAGGTCCTGGGTTCAGTTCCCCCACACACATGGTGACTCACAGCCACCAGGAACTGTAGTTCTAGGGAATGTTACTCTTTACTGATCTCCCTGGGCTCTTGTACTTAAGTGCACATAAACTCACAAAGGCAAACACACATATACATACATAAAAAAGAAACCTTGGGCAAGCAGGTGACACACATACACGCAGACAAAATACCTTTATTATATTCTTATTAGAAAATATTTTTAAAAATGAATCTTTTTTAAAAAAAAAGGGAGCTAGTGGGCTGGAGAGATGTCTCAGCAGTTAAAAGGACTTGCTCTTGTGGAAGACTTAGGTTGGGTTCCTAGCATCCACCTGGGGGCTAACAACCATCTGAACCTCCAGTTCTAAAGGATCCAGCGCTCTCTCCTGGCCTCCAAGGGCACCACACATGATTTGGTGTCTTCTCCAAACAGTTTGAGCAAAGCAAGACCAGAGAGCCAGCAGGCACAAACCTTGGCCATGCAGAGACCCTGAGAGCTTCAAAGGGAGCGGCCCTTCTGTGAAGCAGCTATGTCCTATCCATGCACTCATTGCAGACAAATCTTGCAGTCTTCTACCACAGTCGCCTTTAACGGCCTTTGGAAATGACAACAGCAGTCACACCTGCGTTCTCCTACACATTTCTGTATGGAAGGACATTGCAGAGACTAAGAATTGAAACAGATTGACACTGGAAAATCTCTCCACCAGAGAACTGCGCGAACGTGAGGCACAAGAAGATGTAGTAGTAGAGCACAGGCTAAAGCTTGAGAATGGAGTTCAACTAATGATTGTATTTAATAAACGGTGCCATTTTATTCTTTTTTTTTTTTTTTTTTTTTTGGTTTAAGACAGGATTTTCAGCGTTTCTCTGTGTAACAGCCCTGGCTGTCCTGAAATTCGCTTTGTAGACCAGGCTGGCCTTGAACTCACAGAGATCCACCTCCTGGCCCTGGGATTAAGTGTGCACACCATACATTTTATAACAAGGTCTTGCTACGTGACACTGGCTAGCCTTGATCCTCCTTGTCTCAGGTGCCCTGGTTTTGTTTTCCTCGACATGCCTACTTCGTGTGAGGACACAGGCATGTGTCCTCGTGCATACAGAGGTCAGAGGACAACCTGAGAGAGTTGGTATTCACATGGTTCTGGGGGGTCAAACTCAGGTCTTCAGGGTTGGTGGCAAGTGCCTTATCCTGGTGAGTTACCTCATCAGCCCTAAGGTGCCTGGTCTTAAAGTAATTCTCCAATTCCCTGTCCCTATGACAAGGAAAATCACCACTTGTTTTCTTTGAGTCTTAAAAACCTGTCTTGTGGGGCTGGAGAGATGGTTCAACAGTTAAGAGCACCAGCTGCTCTTCCAAAGGTCCTGAGTTCAATTCACAGCAACCACATAGGGGCTCACAACCATCTGTAATGAGATCTGGTGCCCTCTTCTGGCCTGCAGGCATACATGCAGGAAGAACACTGGATAGATAATAAATAAATAAACCTTTAAAAAAGGTTTGGTATGGTGATTTAAGTCTGTAATTCCAGAACTCTGAAGGCAGAAGATCATCACCAGTTAGGGGCAACGTGGGCTACAGAGAGAGACCCTGTCTCAAAAAGAAACAAAACAAAGCCTAGTCTTAAGTTCAGCTAAACTGAAGATACACAGTAGGATGTTCAAGGAGACTGCTATGTCACCCCGTGGCCAGCTAAATACCTGGCCCTGGAAGAGATGCTTTCCAAGAGGTGGCCGGAAGCTGCAAACGGTCTGCCTTCTTCATCTTGAGTGCTAACCAGAACGGTGTTCCCTGGGGAACAGTTTGATACACCGTGGCAAATGAGGCTGCCCTGTCAAGGGGACAGGCAGACCACACATTCCACTATTGTCAACACACAAAAAATTCCCTACCTGAAAATAAGAAAAGTGAAGATAAGTCGGTTTTTGAGTAGTAAATCATGTTTGCTTTTGAGTAAAGGCTCTGATAAAGCTAATTCTCTTATCAGATTTTTAAAAAGTAACTATTTTGTGTCAGGAATAAACCCAATTCGTTTGTTTTCAGGTTTGCCTTGTATTTTCCACTCATCCTGTATAAAAGCAAATAAACAAGAAACAGGGTTCAGCAGTAAAATTTTCGGGGCACCCATGACCACCTCTGGTGACATTACTGTGACCCTAGAGGATGCAAGGAGCTGATAACTTAGCCGACTAGATGTTTTGAAAGAAATCAGGTTGCAAAGCAAGGCAATCCAAATGAAAGTACTGTACAGACAGCTTCACTTCTGAATGTAGAGGAGAAAATTTTATTAGGCAAAAGCAATGGATTTCAAAATGTAACAGAAATACTGTATGTAATCCAAAAATTCCACTTAAAATAATGTACAGAAAATACTCACATTATAGTATGCACTCACGCCACCTACAGTTATTATGTTTCAGTACACTTGCATTTAGTACAAAGTCAAGCCATTTTCTTTAGTAAATCTAGTGCAATAAACAGCCAAAAATTGTTTGACTCTTTTCTATCTTCATCAGGTTCCTTTAGTTATTGGGATTTTTTTCTCTCTATTTTCTATATATTTTAAGATGCCTGCGGTCTATATGTTTATGCTCCCCAGAGAGATCAACTCTGGTGGTGTTTCATCTCTTAACACTGGTCTAGACTTCTTGTCTTGCAACAGTCATATATTTGGAATATTTTTGTCTGTTTGAGATAGGGTCTCATGTCGCCCAGGCTGGCTTTGAATTCACTCTGTAGCCAAGGCTGGTATTGAACTTTCCTTGATCCTCCTACTTCCCCACCCAAGCGCTAGGATTGCAGGCAGACATCACCATGCCTGCTCCAAATCTGGACTCTGGCCAAGTTCCCTTCTTTGCTCTTTTCTCCTCTGTCCCCATTATCCTTTAGGGTGGACTCTTTCTAATTCTTCAGTCAGTTAGTTTCCAGAATGAGATTCAAGTTATTGCTACCTCTAAGTTACATTTTTCTTTAAATAAAAAATTTTAAACGAGGTCTCATTATTTAGCCCTGGCTAGCTATAAAATGGAGATCATTACGTACACAAGGATGGCCATGAATTTACAGAGATCTGCCTGCCTCTGCCTCCTAAATGCTGGGATTAACGTGTGTGCCCCCCACACCTTTCATTCCTTAGGACAGATTCCTTTGTGTAACTTTATTAACATACTTGAAGAATTTTGCATAAAAACAAAGTAAGCATTAGAACATTTGAAATCACACATACACAAGGAAGCAATAAGGAATTAGTCACATAGTTGGTAAAAAAAAAGAGTATATTCACAATAAGGAAATAATATGGTCATAAGATTCGTGTGGTTAAGGAGTGTACGTGTAGCAAAGCACTTGTATTCATAGCCAGGCTCAAATCTCACTAAATCTCACCTCAGGAAGGGCTTTTCATAGACATATTATCATTTCATTTAGTACTTATTTTTCTTTTGAAATTTGAGGCTGAGCATAACACTATACATAAGTTCTGATATTAACAAAAATTTATTCTATGTTATGGGACCATATTGCTAAGTTCAGAAGAAAATAATGTATGGTTTTGTGGAAATCTCCCACTACGGAATAACACTCCTCTGTTCAGGAGACTTTTAGAAGGGAGCTTTACTGATATTCAAAAGCAGGCATGTGACTGGCACACAGTGAGGAAGGAAGACTGGAATTCCATTTCCATAATGCTGCATCATCTTGTTAAAGAACTGGTCTTGGATTTTCTTTTCTGTACCCAGTTCTTTTCACTTACACTCTACAGATATTTTTTGATACCCTTTTAAATTGCTTAAGTACATTTCATAGTATATAAGCTATAATTCTGATCGTTTTGAGTTTAGAATGGGTTCATGGGAATATGTTATTATTTCCCTGTATAATGCATTTACAAGCCCTTTATTTTAGAAGGGAACCGTGGCTTCAGCACTGATGTCATGACTTTTACAGTCACATTTCTTTAGCAGATTTCCCGTAAGTACTAGGAGAGTCACTGAGAATCATCTTTGTTACGACGTGATCCCAAAGTGATCTTTACTGAGTTTCCTTGGATCTTTGTAACTGGAACTTGGGGGCTGATGGCGTTTGTCAGGAAGACAGAAAAGATGGTGCCACGTCAGATCTGCTTTCCTGGTCTGCACTTAAAGATTATCTGAAGAATGATTCTTCCCCATGTCCTCTCCAAAGTCACATCTGTCATTTCTCCAGAGGCTTAGAAGGCCCTACGTCACCACTGCCACACAGAAAAAGACAAAACTCAAGAAAAATAACATCACAAGGCAACCGCTCTACAAGACAACATCACGCTAAGGTCAGAATATTTTCTCTTTGGCCCTGGCACGCTGCGGAAAGAACAGAGTAGGGACAAGGGAATAGCCCCTCGAGCCTGAACTCATAAACTGTTATCACTAGTGGTCTTCAAATGCAGGGCACCTTTTAGCTTTGTTTCCGTATGGTCTATGTAAGCATGGCTGTGTACGTGTGTGTGTGTAACGATGAAATGAGTGTCAGATGAGGGGAGCAGGGCAAGAGGGGCTGCCCTTCAAATGAGATAGTGTTGCAGTGTGTTTGTAATATCTGACTGAAATGATGCGATGAATGTGACAGTTCGTGGTTTTAGTCCTAGCCATCAGCCCAGCACGACTTTCCACAAATATTAGGTACATACTTGCAAATGCAAACCAAGTACAAACATGGCCGGGAATAGTCCTGGGTTTGTAACTCTCCTAACCTGCCCCCCAAGATTGGGCAAAGTGATGTTTTTGTAGGAATGTTTTGCCCTAATACATTTTTTTTAATTAGTCCCTTAAGATATTTTTCTCACATTAGGGAACATATCTGAAGCATTTGCAGGAAAAGATGATCTTCATAATCTGGGTGCTTAGATCTGTGCCGTCAGAAACAGCAATGCATCTGTGCCTGTTGATCCATGCTTGTGATATGAAACTGGGAGGTGGAGGCAGGAGGATCACCCTGTTCAAGGCCAGACTGGGCTCTCTGAGGCCCCATCTTCAAAATAGAACAAAGCCCTAGCTCTGTCTATTCACTCGGCAGAGCGAATACACGGGTATAATATTGGTTTAAGCGGAATAACAGCAACGTTAAGTACAGCCTAAAGGTTGTATGTTTAACTCCAGTCCTTTCTCAAATAGGTCATTACAGACTACTATGCAATTTTCGTTTTTGTTTGTTTAGTTTTTTGAGACAGGGTTTATTTGTGCAGCCCTGGCTGTCCTGGAACTTGCTCTGCAGACCAGGCTGTCCTTGAACTCAGGGGTCTGCCTGTCTCTGCCTCCCAAGTGCTGGGATTAAAGGTACATGCTACCATAACCAGCTTTTTTCAATGGAAATTTTCTTGCATGAAATTATTAATATTCTTGGCTCTGCAATGTCTTTTGTCAGCTTCCTCAGGTACTAGCCTTTCCTATAATTTTTGTACTTAGCTCAGTGATTAGCACATTGACACACTAGAATAAAACCAAGTATTGAATTGTAATTTTCCTCATCTTTCAGTGTTACTGACCTTCTGCCCTCCATTGATCTGTGGACTTTGATACAAAGAAAATCTCTCACTACTAATCTGCCTCAATGATTTGGTTTTCTTGCCTATCATAAAGAAGCTCAAGATTTAAACTCAATGCTAACTTCAATTATGTATGTCTGTATGGACATATGTTAGTAATCAATTGGTTCAAAGTTAGCATGGGCTTGCAAGTTGTTACTGTCATCTGGTTAGTTTCTATTTCCCATTGTCACTGACAGATACAAATATTAAAATCCTCCTCTTCTGGCCTTTTCCTAAAAAGCTAAATTATATC